GCGGAGCTCCGCAGTGTTACGTCACTATGACCAGGAAGAAAAAAATGGAAAAAGAAAAATCTCTAACGAGGCGTTCTGGGGCAGCATAGACAGGTGGGAATCACCCGGTGCTTTCAGTCCCTGTTCACCTACCGGGATACAAACCGGAGGAGCCAGGCATGGAGGGAGGTGGCAGAGACAGTGGGTGAAACTGGTAGGTTTTCGCCTGTTTGGGGAGTTTATATCCAGTGTACTTCATTTGAATGGACAGCTAGCAGGCATAGACAGTATTTAGCCAGCATGGAATGTTGCGTAAAATAGCACCATAGACATTAATGTCATAAATGTTCATCATATAAAGTGTGACATGTAAAACCTTTTATGTAATTGACAGCAGGTTTCATAGAGCCAACCCATTTTAAGTGCTACTCAACTGGCGTTAGATAAGCCAGTCCTTTGTTAGTAAAAAAGTGCTTTGTTAGTAATTTTATTGCTCGAAGTGGAGTCGAAAGAGATGAGTTTTTAGTCTGCGCCGGAAGATGTGTACGCTTTCTGCTGTCCTGATGTCAATGGGGAGCTCATTCCATCATTTTGGAGCCAGGATAGCAAACCGACGTGTTTTTGCTGATGGGAACTTGGGTCCCCCTCGTAGTGCGGGTGCAGCGAGCCGTTTGGCCGATGCAGAGCGGAGTGCACGTGCTGGGGTGTATGGTTTAACCATGTCCTGGATGTAGGAAGGGCCAGAACCATTCACAGCATGGTACGCTAGTACCAGTGTCTTAAAGTGGATTCTAGCAGTTACTGGTTTACATGCATAAAAAGCTACATAACACACAAGGGGACCGTTAATAACCGGAAAAGCATGTCATGGGACCTTTAAAACAATTAGAATACAAGTGTAAGTACAAATTGGTGTAACATTTTATTATAAAATACTTTTCTTGTCAGTAAATTATCTGTTTAGTGTTTTGATGTTTCAAATGGCTTCATCTACTGTTGGTTCCCAGAGTCTCATTATTATGTAGCCTTGAGCATTCTTTATACACAACGGACCACTCTGCATCCAGCCAACTGGGCACTCAACTGTTCCCAACAGCTGTTCTACATTTAAGGGATGAGAGTTAACAAGAAACGACACTATGTCCTGAACGAAGTCAGTTATTTCTCAGTGCTATATTTCATGACAAGATGCACTTTTCACTACCTCTATCTTTTAATTTCACTAGTCTGACTGCTTCACATCCTGGAGAAGCTTCAAAGTAAACTCCAATCGCAGGGCTAACAGATCCTGATATATTTGATGACTGAAGAGCTTTTTGAACAGTCCACCATGCATGAAATGTGTAGGTGCTGCTGTCTTAGAGTACAAATGTAGTTGTGACTCATGAGTGTCGTAGGCTTTCTTCTCCTGCACCGCCCCACATGGGCAGCAAAGAAAGTGGAGGCTCAAAATAAATCACTGCTGGAGGGCTACATATATCAAACTCTATAGTTCATTCAAAATGAGTTTTTGTCCACTATATCTATGTAGTGCATTTGGACTTTGACAGTAAGGTACAGTTTGAGAAATGTAACACATTACTTTTTACTCAGACAAGAAGCAGTTGTTGAACTATATAACATAATGGAATTTTGTGTGTGAAAAACTCAGGGCAAAACAAAGTCATTGAGGTTGCCTTGTTTTTTATTTCCCGGAAAGTCAGGTCAGTCTCTTTTGAAACCTGAATGTCACAGCAGAGTTGGTGTGTATTCAGGCCACTTTTGTTTGTTAATATTGTGTCATTAGTTAAAGATGAACAATATAGATAACAGCTGTCGACTCCTATACTTTGGAATATTGGATTCTCCTTTATTGAAATGAGAGCAACATACAATATGTAATAATATTTAATAATCCTTCTGTGAATGACATTGTCAAGTGGGTGTTATTTATTATTTTAAGCTAATTTAGCCCCACTGGTGTCATTTTACTATAATTTTCAGAGGCATCACTGCAAGAAGGGAGTCACTGCGCTGCAACCTCATGAAAAGGGCATTTCAATTCACTGGATTTTTCTTCTGTAAAAAATTGTTGATATCAATCGATACAAATATTTGGTTGAAGTGCAAAAAAATCACGAGTTGTCCTATTAATAATGCTGATTTAAATCAGATTGTCATAGAAAAAAAATCACAGCATCCAGTAATGCCCTTTTGTTATAATAACATTTAAATAATTCAGAACTGTAGATGGAAGGCTGTTCAACATCCAGGGTTATCATTTTACATTAATTAAAATACAGTCTTGGATATTAGCAACTAAACATTGATCCTTTTAATAGGGGATCAGTTATTCTTACTTTTTGTCCCCATGGATCTTTCGTTGTGTCCTGTAAACCTCAGGCTGCAGGGTGCATTTAATAGAACTGCTCAGCATTAATATTTTGGTGTTTGGTCTGATCGATTGGCACACTTCCCTGCAGGATGTCAGCCATTATCATAATACCCAACCAAATCACTGTTACAGAAAAATGACCATGCATTTACGTTCTTCAGGAAACAATAGCTTTCATTATGCTGCATTACTCAGGTTTATAAATTAGTCCCATAAACTAAGGTTGGTATTTTGTGTGAAGCTATATAAGACAGCTATAAAAGCCATAAAGGATATTTGCTGAGGCATTTTGCATTATGCTCAGTAGAGTCATAATAAGGCAGCATATGCTTCAGTGGTTTTTGTGACATCGTTAGCATAAATAATTAAGAAAATAACTGTGCTGTTAATGCTGCCTATCGTCTTAAAGACCAATATATCCAAAACACAAAAAGCTAATTTTCTTAGGTTTATGCTTCACCTGATAAAAATTACACTGTGTAGTAGTTTATATTTAAATCTACCAGTTGTCAAGGGATAACTGGTTTCTGTGCTATTTCATTCAATCACTTTTAAAGCAAATTGCATGCATTGATTTCACTGTTGCTTTGAAAAGACCGCTGGTTATGAAAACAGTGAAGAAATGTCTGAGGTATCCATTACTCAGAACAGCTCAGGCATTGTGATAGTCGAGCGCCTGATCTCTTTCATCTTGTTCATAATTCCTTAGGTTATTATGAGTCGAATATTAGAGGCTGCCAGTCTTCTCTCCCATCTGCACAGTGCACTAACACAAAATGGAGTTATTGTAATTATAGCTTTCATGCATGGGAAGGTTCATTTTAGGAGGTAACTTGAAGGGCTCAGAAAAAAAAGAAATCAATGTTGTGACTGACAAGTGAAGGATGGAAAATATCTCACTGTCTAAGCCCAAAACACCTCTGTCACAAAACCAGAGTGTAAGGGTCGGTATTGACGGTATTATCACAGCTATTAACAGTAGAGGGAGCTTCAGTTATGCAATTACGACAAGATGAACTTTTCAGTACCCCTGTATAATGCATGCTTGTCATGGAACATTGGATGTTGACTTGTTTTTAACAGTGAATTGTCCCCTCTGTATCCCAACACTTACTCTCTCATTCCACTGCAATAAACGATTTCCTCAGATAAATAAAAACCGAAGATGGAAAGGCAGCTCTCCCAGCACCCAGAAGGAATTTATGGGAGATCAAGACTCCTTTTCCGGTGTGAAACCAAAGGCAAGGCAATAGTCTAAAGCTTGTTTCAGTGTAAACAGTTCACAGGCACTCACCCCGTTAAATTTCCATGGAGCAGGTCTAGACAGTGCATCTTGATAACATCACAGACTGCAATATTCTCTGTGGTCTGTGATATAGGATTTTAAGATAAAATACCATAAAACTATATTGATCCTTTTGGGGAAATTATTAACAACAAAATATGTGAATAAAGTGGGACGGAGTGTTTTATAGAATCTGGAGGAAAATAATAGGATACTAAACCGAAAACTGATCAATAAAATCAGGAATAAAACAACAAAAATAACGATAAAACAACTCCATGGAATTGTTACAGGAGATAATATGTTACTTACTGGTTGTAGCACCAATATACAATATCCCTACATTTCAATTTGTATGATAACTTGTTGTGTAAAATCTTTAACTGAGTCAATTTTAAGCACATGCCCTCTGAAGTAGTGACAAAAGCTAACTGCTTTTATCTAGACTTTTCTGTTACTATTCTGTGAAAGATCCACAGGGAAGTTGTGTAATGTGCATAACCAGTCATGTGTCATGTGCAATAATTAAGAGGAGCAATGCCAACATGTCACCTCTGACAAATGTATGTCATTTCCATGGCTACGGCTGGACAGTCTGTTAAGTATTATGTAGGCTAAGTCAAAAGGCTTAGAGCAGCATGATACACAGGGCTACTGCTCTAAAACACATTTTGTATGTCCCCTGTGTCTCTCTCTGTGTGTGAATACAGTCACAGTTGCAGTTTTCCCAGCTAAATGAAATATCACTCTAATATTCTCAATATCTCCCAAAAGGGGCTTGTAATATTGTTTTAATTGTATTGCAGGATATTTTATTTATTTAAATTGTATTTAAAATTGCCCTTAGCTTACTCTCGTGGGCCACAAATGATGACATAACATGATGCACATTTCACTATATATTTTCTGTGATATAATGTATTTTCCAGAGTATTCCTGTTGTATGCACCACATTTAAATTTAAATTGCACTTTTACACTCGTGGGCTATACATGATGACATCAAATGATGCACATTTGAGTATATATTTTCTGTGATATAATGTATTTCCCATAGTATTCCTATGGGATGCACCTGCGTCACCATCAGTTAGCTCCATTTCCAGCAAATGCTCAGATTGTTAATTTTCTTATGGGGAATAAATAGGGGGTGTTTCTCCAGTCGATATCTTTAATTGCTCCTGGGTTGTATCAATACCTACTCGTTTTAACTGCTCCATCACCAAGCCACTGGGAACGGGTTGCCCGGGAAACGGCCGCATGGCAACAGGATCAGAGCCTGGGGGTTGTCTGCTTCTAGGTCTGCTCCCATTTTACATCGCGTTTCCTCACTAGATGGTGTGCAAGCCACTGGAGAGTACACTTCCCCGCACAGTGGGCTCCACATCCAGCAAAACAAACCTGGGAAACTGTACGGCGGACCATTTCTTTACGGGGCTCCGAGGAGGAAAAGTGTGGAAATAAAAACGACGTTTCTTTTTTTGAACTCCTTGCTTAATCGAGACAAGAAGACTTGGGGGGAAAAGCGGCAACACAACACAGCTGTCATGGACATAATGTTTGCGGTGCAGGATGCTTGTGTCTCTGGTCAGTGGCTAACTGCGATTATACTCAGCTTGTGCTGCTTTCTGCCGTCCTGTTTGCCCGCTGGACAAACTGTGGACTATCCCTACTCGGTGGAAAGTGTGGTCAGCAGACAAGGCGACACGGCTCTTCTGAGGTAAAACAAGCGAACACAACTTCACTTTCTCCCGCTCACACTCACTCTCTGTCGGGGGCTCTCTAAAGCTCTCATCCGCACACGCTCCTTAACACCAGTTAATCGTTTTAAACATGTCTCTTAACTACTTTTAAACGGGGTGTTCGCACAGCGCCTGCGATAAACACACAATAGGCCATTTCCCTCCATCCCGTCCTTGTTTTCGCTTGACTGGGGGTCGGTCAGTGCTACGCAGGACGCCGCTCCTGTGCAGAGGCAGGTGCAACGGCAAAGTTTTCTAACATACTTTCCCTCTGTGGACATGAGCTACCAGAGTTGTTGTGTTATTAGGTGTGCGTTTGATTCTATAACCTCTTGCAGGTGGGAACATGTCGCCTGAATTAACCAAATTAACAGCCCAACATAGCATATCGCTTCTTATATGATAGTCGTTCCCACATTTTCAGGAGCTGAAGATCGAAAACAGAACTATTTATTTAGTGCCGTCCTGACAGTTTTGCACAATGTAGTGTACAGTGTGATGTCGCAGTTTAAAAAGAGGCTGAAGAGTGTGTTTGTGGTGGCTGTTTATCAGAATCGAGTTATGGCAATGACGCGCTCTCTCCCCCATCCTCCCCTATCCTCCCCCATCTTCCCTCCATCACGTATGCTACGTTGCCAGATAGAGCTGACTCTTCATGCACACACTAACTGGGCATGGGCGTGGACTAGTGCACTTTGGGAGTTTTTGCACATTTTATTCTTAGCATATCATCACCAACAATGTCAAAATAGTTTACAGTACTTTCAATGCGAAAGTATCAATACCATTAATACTAGGAAAACACATCAGTGTAGTATATTTCAGTTATTCAGAGAAATCATAACTCTACACTAAACACATGAAAAAAAATGCAAATCTTTGAAAAGCTGTGATAATATCTTGTTCTACCAATATCAAATATCCGCTGTGATGGCTCTCAGAAAAGGCTGAGGGGGCAGGCCTGCCCCATTTCAATATGAATTGTGTGGATGTTGACTGAGAGATGCTCAGTGTGGCCCTGAATACAGAGCAGCTAACCGTCTAAAGTTCCACTCAGCTTGGCTTTTAGTCATTGTTGTCTCATACTTGATTACTGAAGAGCTGAATTGGTTCTGTGGCATAAGGTCATCATAAGTGGCTGTATAGAGATAAGTGTCTTACTATGAGGGTGGTTTAAATGTGTGGCTACTTATCATCACAGAATTACCTTGGCAACAGCTAAGGGGCGCTCACTATTTTTAACATGTTTCTAACCATGCCTAAAGGGCCGTCGCATCAAAGAGACTTACACCTCTGCTCAGACTGTCTCTTAAGAGAGGGCGTCTAATTCCCTGGTGTCAATCTGTGTCGGCTGTGATCAGTAGCAGAAGCTTTGCCTGAATCCCTATGGTTTATTGGACCAGAGATTATCCCTGGGCTATGAATCAGCTCAATAAACAAGTTGCCTCCCACCCCTTGAATAAGGCAACACTCCACAAGCGGGTCATCGCCTCAGCTCATGCCTTCTAGGAAATGGATAGGGAAAACATGTTCAAGATGCATCCATTACCAGGTTCTTACGGCTAATTAATGGTTATTCAGCACTCGCTATAACCAGTCATTGGCCTTTTCTCATTCACGTGAACGTCTCCACTGTGAAGTTATCACTTTGCTGAGCCCGCACCTGTTGACCTTATAGAGATTGCAAATCTCTTAAACTGTTCTCCTTGCCTCTTGAGATTGCATCCAGTTGCAAAACACTGTCATCACCAACGTGATAATAAAGGCCTACTGTGTCTTGTTTCAGTCATGTTCTCATACCACGAGGAATCATGGCTTAGTCTTTTCTTCCTTCTTTCTTTTTCCCCCCTGGTCTTTAGAGACGGGCATCAAAGCATGAATCATTTCTTTTAGCAATGTTGTGCAGAAAACAGTGCTTGTTTGTTGCATTTTGAGACCTCGGACTATTAGAAGGCAATTTTACTGTGGCCCTTAGCTGATTTCTGGCAAAAAAATGTGAGCACTTTAAAATACTGACAAACCCAGAAGCATGCAATTAGTCACTGCCTCTGGATTATGGAGTAGCTCCCGTGAGGTGCGTCCGCTGTCATATGTTCATTTCCCCCACCTCTTTAATTCTTAGCGCCGCATTACTGCTGCCCTGATTCATGTTGGACAGTGGGTCCACATCAATTAAATGATTTGAACTTCTTGAAAATGAGTAATGGTACGCATGTGCATCCTCACCCTTTTTATCTTTTTTGATTAGTTTAAAGCTAAGCCATTCAGCCTCTAACGATGGACCTTGTATTTGAAATGAATCCGGCTGCTGCTTCTACAATGTTTTTACGTCAGTGCATTCAAGTTATGCACGCATGCTGCATTCTTTTACATGCATGAAAGCTATGAGCTTCCATAGAGACCCCATTGTTTTAGATGAGCCACACATTCCTTTCTCCCCACATCCTTCTGCTGTTTTCATGTCATTTGGATTCAGTTGAACAAACCTCGACTCTTCCCAGTAAATGTCTCATCTGGCTATGAATTTGAGGGGGACAGCCAGATGAAAAGACAGTTCTCCATGCTGTCAGGAAACACACGGTATCAGTGGCAGCCTCTTCCACATGAATAAACAGCTGTAATCAACAGCAAAGAGCGAGTGCCTAGAAATGTAGTCCGGGCAGATTGAAATCTTAAGCATTTGCTGCTATCATACAGATGTCATTTGCAGTATTATTCTTAAAGTATGTTTGTCTTTTTATCCTGGTATTCTATGTTTTCCAAATGAATTATGTGTGGTGCGAGAGCTAGACAAAAGGTAAACTGATTGTTCTTTAAAAGTGACATTTTATATTTTTCAAAGGCAGAAAATAGGAACCAGGGAAATAAATAGGAGCAAGGCTGTACACGGCAAGAATAAAACAATGATCCAAGCTTATTTTCGTCATTTAGTTTGACAGTTGGCCCACAGCCACAGAATAAGGCCTGCACCACGGACCCTAGTCTCTGTAATGGTGCAAAATTGACCTGTCACTAGTTTGAAAGTCTGGTATTCGTATAAATCTAAAATCATTGCCTCATGTCAACAGACCAGTTGATGAAAATCTTTTCTGGCTGTACATGATTGTACTCGAGCTGCGTTTTTTTGCCTTATCCAGCACATAAAAAACACTGCCATGTATCATTTTCCTCAACTGTTTCACTATTATGGCTTTGAAAGGTCTTGACATTTTCTATAAGCACTTGAGCCAGAGACAACATCCAGTTTAAATGGCTTGGTGTGTCCCCCCCCCCCCCCCCCAACGAAGAGGCTGGTATAAGAAAAATATATCAAGTGTTAAAACTCCACAGGACACAATATGAAGAAATAATTGTCGACTATATCCTTAACACAGACCATAACCATGGCTGCCAGGCTCCTTCTGCATTTTTTGCATTTCATCATTTTTTTTTAATTAGGCCACAACCAGTTCTAAAAAGAATAGGCTTCTTCATCTCCAACAGCCTGGTTGGAGATATAGCATTTATAGTGTGCACATCAGTTAGCTGCCAGATATTCATGCATTCATTTGGGGAAAGCTACCTCTTCTGACATATTTGTAGGCACACCTGATTCTGTCAATGTTAATTAAATGCCAAAATGCCCTCGCCTGTTTGCTGCACTACATGTTAAGGCCCTGACACTAGGGCTGTCCCGAATACCATTTTTCGGGCTCCGGATATTCGGTAGTAATCAGCAGCGAACCGCTTCAACACATGTATTTCGGTGTATTCACGGCATTCATTTTGTTATTCTACAGTATTGTTGTTTTATAGTTATTTGTTAATGTAACCCAATTTGTGGTCTTTGAAATTGAAAAGGATATCGCATTGTGTTTGTTACTTTCGTTGCAGTTGTATATGTCTTAAGTAGTGTAATTTGGCTTGGCTTCCTATTTATGGACATGCTTTTATTTTGAAGGAGAGTTAGCGCAGTTGACAGGAAGTTGTTTTGGAAACAACGTGACGGAGATTAACGGAGAAAAGTAATATCTACATATAAAGACGGAGAAAGTAAACAATAACGTTTATGGTTAAGTGTTAGCACCCCCCCGAAGAGGCACAAGCTCTTTCGTTGATATTGGAGATTTCAATAAATTCAATTTGAAAAAAAAACGGGAAAAAAACGAAAAAACAAACAAAACGAATATCCGAATAACGAAATTGAAACCCGAATAGCACTCCAACGAACGAATATTCGGATATTCGGATATTCGGGTCCAGCCCTACCTGACACACCAAGCAGTCACCAGAGAACTCGCCGACGCCGACTGTTGCGTCGCCGTGTTCTCCTGCGTCTTGGCCATGTGTCGCACTGGAACACACCGCAAAGACTTCAGCCGAGCACGTACGAACTGCGCATGCGTGAGTGGCAATAACTCTCCTTACCAGCAGGCGGCGGTAGTGTGTATTCGTCATTCAAAAGAGGCAACAACCGGAAGACAGAGAAGAAGAACAGACTGCGTGATCTAAACAAACAACAAATAGCGTGTGCGTTCCATTTTCACTCTCGTCCATCGAAAACATGTTTCGTGCAGTACTGGAGCTATCAGCCATTGGAGTGTTGCTTGTGGAAGACATCCTCAAGCAACCGTTTCGCTTCTCAAGCACTGATTCGCCGACTAACGAAAACGGACGATTTTGGCCTGGTGTGTCAGGGCCTTAAAATGCGATCAATGTTGCTGTCAGCACAATGTTGCTTTGTTTCTTTGCTTTGTTGCACAGTCTTATGCTCATCGGGGTCCGGACATCTCAAGGATCAAGTGCCGGGCAAGTAATATGACCTCATTTCTGGAGAGTGAATAGATGGTATCATGATGCAAAACAATGGGCATGGGGGAGGGGCTCCCAGATGAAGTCACCCAGGCACAGATACAACTAACATTGAGAAACTCATGCTTTTTTTATGTAAAATAAATCTGACCTTTTCTTTGAAACACAAGAACGCAGGCGTATTGCT